GCGTCGTCGCGAGTGGGAGCACGAGCTCGGCAGGGAGACCCCGCGGCTTCCAGTTCGTCTCCTCCGCTCGGGCTGTGTGGGCTCCCTCGGGCCACTTCACCTCTCTGGGCTTGAGTCGCCTCGTCCGTCAAAGGGGGCTCCGACGCCGATGTCGCAGCCTGAGCAGGTTCCTGCGCCCGCTGTCCGGAAGGGCCAAAGCTGCGGCCGCCGAGAGTTGAGTGTCGCAAAGCCGCTGAATGAGGAGGACTGGAGAGAGCGCTGAAGTCCTCCTCTTGGAGAGTTCAGGGAATGGAATTTCACTTTTGAGTAAAGAGGCTCGCGCTGTCACCCAGCTGGAGTGCCGTGGCACGCTCGCAGCCATCACAGCCTCGGCCCGCTGGGCTCTGGCGATCCTTCCACCTCGGCCGTCCAAGTAGCTGGGACCACAGGCGGGCACCACCACGCCCGGCTCATTTTTTGATTTACTGTAGAGACGAGGTCTCGCAAGCGGCCCAAGCTGGTCTCAAACCCCTGGACTCAGGCGATCCTCTCGCCTCCGCCTCCCAGAGTGCTAGGATTACAGGCGTGAGCCACCGTGCCTGGCAAGCATAAGCTTTTTTTTTTTTTTTTTGAGTCTGAGTCTCACTCTCACCCACCAGGCTAGAGTGCAGTGGAACGCTCATGGCCACTGAATCTCGACCGGCCGGGCTCAGGTGATCCTTCTGCTTCAGCCTTCAAAGTAGCTGGAACCACAAGCATGTGCCACCATGCCCAGCTTTTTTTTTTATTTATTGCAGAGACAAGGTCTCGTCATGTTGCTCAGGCTGGTTTCAAACTCCTGAGCTCAGGCAGTCCTCTCACCTCTGTCTCCCAGAGTGCTGGGATTACAGGCTTTGACCACTGTGCCCAGCCAAGAATAGGGTTTTTTTGTTTGTTTGTTTGGGTTTTTTTGAGTTGGAGTCTCACTCCATCACCCAGACTGGAGTGCAGTGGCATGCTCCTGGCCACCGCAACCTCGACTTGCTGGGCTCCAGCGATCCTTCCGCCTCAGCCTTTCAAGTAGTTGGAACTGCAGGCGTGCGCTACCACTGGCTAATATCTGATTTATTGTAGAGATGAGGTCTCGCCAAGTTGCCCGGGCTGGTCTCGAACCCATGGGCTCAGGCAATCCACTTGTCTTGGCCTCCCAAAGTACTGGGATTACAGGCTGAGCCATGGAGCCCGGCCAAGAATAGGGTTTTTTTTTTTTAAGGGTACTTGGCAGGCACGAAAACAGGGGCTGTTGACTGATTGATGATGTCATGGGGGAGGTGTCCAGACAGTCTTCCTGTCACAGAGTCAATTTCTGGGAGAAGGTATGGGGTCAGTAGAGCCAGCTTCCTGGTGTTCTAGGCCTGGATGGGGTCACGGGTCCATCAGGGTTCATCAGAGAACAGAGTCTGGAAAATAGCTCAAATGCCATTCTTAAGTTTTACAGTGCAGCCCCCCTGGGCTGTGAGCCATTATGGAAGTCCTCTAGGAGGGTCTTTCAACTGAGCTTTTGTCCTCAAGCAGTTTTAGGTCCATTGTTTCAGAAAGAATATGTTGAACGGCCTTGCTCCTCCCCCAGGGGTCAGGACAGGAAGGTAATCTTACAAAGCCAGTTTCATCTAGGTTGTGAGAACGCCTGGAGACCCCAAGTCATGTTAGGGTCTCTTGTTGCTCCTAATTTTATTTACTCTATGTTATCCAGTGGAATGGAGGCTTTGAGTTGAAGCTCCTTAGTGCAGAACTCTGCAGATTTTGACAAATGTACAATACTGTATGATCACCACAGTCAAGGTCTAGCATGGTTTCAACCCCCTGTAAAATTCCGCTGGCCTCTCACCTTGCCTCGGCACACTGATCTGACTTCTGTCACTATAGTTTTGCCTTTTCCAGAATTTTGTATAAATGGAATTGCTGTGGTTTGAATATTTGTCCCCGCCGAAACTCATGTTGAAGTTTAATCCCCAATGTGGCAGAACTGAGAGGTGGGGCCTTTAACGGGTGATTAATCCATTTGGATTAATGGGTAAATGGATCAACGGGCTATCATGGGAAGGGAACTGGTGGTTTTTTGAAAAGAGGAAGAGAGACCTGAGCTAGCACCCTCAGCCTCTTCATCGTAGGATGCCCTGCACCACCAGTTCAGGACTCCGCTGGGATTACCGTCTGGGATTACAGTGCTGGGATTACAGGCTGAACCACTAAGCCCAGTCAGCATACCGCTTTTAAGATATATCCATGCTTGCATCATGGATATATCCATGCTTGCATCATTGTTTGTTCCTTTTTATTGTGCAATGGAATACCACACACCTGGCATGAATACACATTTTTATTTCACTTGGGTAAATGCCTAGAAGTAGGACTGCCGGGTCATATAAGTGTATATTTAATTTGATACAAATTAAAAGATTTGTATCAAATTAAAGATTTTCAGTTATCAACCTCTCTACCTGAAGGACAATGGCGCCAGTGAGACTCGGTACCCTTTGAGGTCAAGAGATTTATTAGAGCAGCGGCTACAGGGAGAGGGAAGGAGGTCTGTAACCGCCTGGTGGGAAAAGGGAGTGAGAGAGAGAGGGCGAGAGAGAGGTCTGTATTTATCGGTTTTGGGAGGGGGCGGCCTGTGCTCTCTGAGCCTGGCCGTGCCAGCCAGAGCCATCTTAGGGTCTTTATTGGAGGGAGCTATGAGGTAGTATTCCTATAGGGAGATAATGTTTGTACATGAGTTTAAGTTGCGCGCACGCACGGGAGAGGCAGGAATTTACGGCCTTTGTTGTCTTTGTTAGGTTCCCTAGTGTTGGCACCATCTCAGGAGACATCCTTCTGGCTGTTCCCCGTGCCTTTCACTACCTTCTTACACTTTCCAGCTCCTTGGGGCATTGAGACACACTGGCAACAAGAAGGATAAAGTTCTTGCTCTTAGCCAGATTGTTTGGAGACAGAGACAGATAGGAACAAGGAAAGGACAAATAAAATGAATGTCGCCAGGCACTGTGGCTCATGCCTGTAAACCCAGCACTTTGGAAGGTGGAGGCAAGAGGACTGCCTGAGCCCAGTGTTCAAGACCAGCCTGGTCAACTTTGTGAGCCCTCGTCTCTGCAATAAATAAATAAATAAATCATCTGAATGTGGTGGTGCGCGCCTGTGGTTCCAGCTACTTGGAAAACTGAGACAGAAGGATCGCCTGAGCCCAGCAGGTCAAGGCTGCGGTGGCCCTGAGTGTGCCACAGCACTACAGCCTAGGAGACAGACTGAGACTCCAACTCAAAAAAAAGATTGTCTGTAGGATAGCAGTTATAAATAGAGTGATGGGCAGTGTTAGGGTAGATGGGTGGATGGAGAGGCGAGGGGAGGCGCAGCACCACCGGAGCTGGCGTGCCGGAGATGTGCGCATGCAACCCAGATATCCGAGTAATGCAGAGAATTGCAGCACACAAACAGGCAAAGCAAGAAAAGTTTATTTAAAGGTAAATTAGAGAAAGAGAAGGGAGAAAGAAGATTCACCTCCCCAAGGTGGGGGAGGGAACCAAAGTCAGGAAGCGTGGCGACAGCCATAGCTCAAAGAGCATACGGCCACACCAGAGTCTAGCAAGGCAATGGCTGCTGGCTGCTTGTGGTTGAATCCTTTTAACCATTCCCCTTGATGGGGGAAGATCATTAAGGTGATTGGGTGGTGGTCATCATAAAAGGACAGGCAAACACAGGTACTGACGTCTGGTGATGGACAGCAGGCAGATGGGTGAGTCAGTCACATGATTGCTGCCATGGTGGGGTCTGTCTGTCACAGAGGTCACTAGAAGGGTTTTTCCTGCAGGAGACTTGTTAGACATTTGCAATTCACAAACTCCTTGACCAAAGGAGGTCATATTATCACTTTTATGGACTTTGGCCAGCCAAAGGGTGATCTTTGACCTTCCACCTTGACAAGGAACCTAACAGTTTACCAGAGATTTTTATGCTAAGCCATTAATTGAAAGGTTGGCCTGTCCTGGTCTTGCATCTGATAGAGATTTGCCAAGGGGAAGATGGGATAGGCTGCTGCTTGTCCTGCAGAAGAATGAACACTTTCTAATGGTTATACTGAGGCAAAAAGACTAACCTAAGAATAAGCTAAGTTTCTTCTAGGTTTCTATAGGTACCACCTTTCAGGCCGGAGAATACTGAGCTGCGACCTGCAGCTTTCCAGGCGGGGCACAGTGTGTGCAAGGGAGTGAAGGCCACTGAAGGACAAGCTGGGTGTGTCCAGTGAATGTGCTGGGAGCCAGGTTTGGCTGTAGGCGCCTAGGTGGGTGAGAGACACAGCCTTGAGAGCTGGGCAAAAGCTGAGGTTTTACTCTAAACCTATTTGGAAAACACAGAAAGGTTTTGTTGGGGTTTTTTTGAGTTGGGAGTCTCACTCGTGGCCCAGGATGGAGTGCAGTGGCATGCTCCAGCCTTCTGCCTCAGACTTCCAAGTAGCTGGAACTCACAGAACGGTTTAGCCTGGAGACCATCATGACGCAAAAGATCTTTTCCTAGGAAGGAGAAGACCAGCTGGGATTGCAGCCAGACGGAAGAGCAGCAGTTGAATTCGGGACTTATTTTGGCGAGGGAACCAAAAGAGATATTGATGGCTTTCACGTGGGGAGTGAAAGAAAGAGAAGAATCCCAGGTGTGTGGGGGCGGGAGGGGGCGCATGCAATGGTGCTGCTGGAGAATGAGTCCTTTGAGGTCTAACCTGTGTCACCTCAGTTAAACTCCTCCCCAAACCATACAGGTTAAGCAAAACCTCTGACTGCACTAAACCTGCTTGTCTTCAGCAAAATAAGTGAAAACTGGGTGAGATGGCACCCAGCATATAGCCGCTCATCAAGTACCATTCATTATATCGCTCATTTCGCTCCCACGAGACCCCTAGGAGGCAGGACCTTTTTTTCTTACGGCTGAAACAGGGAGAGAACTGCCAAAGGGCAGAGATGGGTCGAACGCAAAAAGAGAACGTAAGGGTAGGCCCCTCGGTCAGTCGCAGGCCCCGCCCGCCTGGCCTGGCGCGCCTCA